GTGATTCTTTCCCTTTATTTACCAATTTATGAAATAAGTTGGTTCCTTGGCATTCTCAAAATTTATCCACTAAGTTATTTTCATATCATCACAAACTTACAGATATAAACATATTTTATGTGTTTAATCTGTTGTGGTTATTATCCCTTTTGGCACTCAGGTTGTCCCATCTTTGGCCAGTGAGAACTTATTCATATTGTCTTCTGAATCATTTTGATGCAACCCTTTCTTTGACATCTTTCTTGCTTTTTGATATGATCAAATAGTCCAGATTCATCATCTAAATTTACTGCCCTAGACCTAGACTTAGCTATTTCATCTGAACTCTGGCTTCTTTTAGTGGAATTGGCTATTGACTGCCATCTAGAAGCTAGCTAGTGTGCTCATGTCTGTGGAGTTGATCAGTGTTTCTAAAACTTTTTAGTTGACTTGGCCACAAAATACATAGTTTATTTTGAAAGGAAAATGCATCATGAGTTCATATTGATATTTCTGATTGAAATAGTAATTTTCACAGTTTACATCATTAATTTTATGTTTGAGTCACCAATTATTCTTGCTGAAAATCTTGTTTCCTAGCAACATTAGCATAATAACATATTTACTTTATCTTACTCTGTATGTAATAGTTTGAAAATCACAGTAAGATACTATTGCTGCCATAACTAGTTGCCATTAAATTGATTCCGACTTGTGGCAACCCCATGTGTGTCAGAGTAGAACTATGTTCCATAGAATTTGCAATGGCTGATTTTTTGGAAGTAGGTCACTAGGACTTCTGAGGTGTCCCTGAATGTATACAAACCTTTCATTTAGTCACTGAGCAGGTTAAACATTTGCATCACCCAGTGACTACCATATGACCCAGCAATACCACTACTAGGGTAGTAGTGACCAACTACCACTACTAGGAAGCATCCAAAAGACTTGAACACAGGGCCTTGAACAGATACCTTTATGCCAGTGTTCATTATAGCATTATTCGCAGTAGTCAAAAGGTAGAGACAACCCAAGTATCCATCAACAGATGAATGGATAAACAAAATGAGGTATATATATAGATAGATAGATAGATAGATAGATAGATATCTATATCTATCTATCTATCTATATATGTATATA